GTTTGAGCTCTCAAACATCTTTACCTTCTCTGGCAGGCCAAGAACAGAGCACAATTTGCTTCATCTCAGAAAACTCTCTAAATAGTAAAAAACAGCATCAATACATTTGAAATGTTAGCATCTACTTCGGTAAAATTAACATTCAGTTTTATCCTTATGCAAAAAACAAAATGACACAACTTTAAACAAAAGTTCTATTGTGTAATGGAACTTAATTCCACGAAAAGGAAGTCTATAGGGCTACCATACAGGACTGCAAAGAACTGGATGATCAGTAGTTGGCAGGAAAGGGTTTGCTTTCTAGAATCTCTCTGCTGTTGTCTCTTTGTCTGGATTTTTGCAATCCAGGTATGGTATATATAGCTAGGAGGTATGGCAGCTTAGAGATCTCTCAATGACCAATGTGAGGATCTTTTCATTTCATTTTTATCAATGGTTATTGGGCTAAAAGATCTAAAGGAAAGTTTAGTTTGTCTCCAAGTTCTACTCCTTACCTTCTATGTGTCTGGAGGAAATTTGTGTATTGGAGCTTGTTCAAAATAGGTTATACAGAACAACTTTCATGTAGATGATGAAAGAATGTTGATGGAGCCATGAAATGAAAGTCATTGCATGAGAACTCAAGAAACAGTTACAGTATCTCTTGCTTAATATTGGAGGAAAAGAAAAAACGGTACTTCTGTTCCTTTGCCACAATCTTCTGAGCCATGCTTATTAAGCTTCATTAGTTTTGAACTGATTCCTGAAAGCGCCAAATGGTTTTTAAATTTAGTCTTTGTTCCATACATTGCAATGAAAGAAAGAAATCATCCTATCTCTCACTTTCTACCTTATTTGTGAGGATTCTTACTTAATTTGAAAATCAATTCTTTATCTTTAGTTGTACCTTATTTTTCATATCAGGGAAGACTGGCTCCTAAAATAGTATACAATTAAAATACATCACAAGACACAGTACAGGAACATGGCATAAGGGAAGTGGGTAAAGACTGCTGCTGTAGGGGTGTAGCTTTCTTCCCTGCATTTTTTTTTTTACTTCTCACCAGAGCCTGCATGGCTAGTTTACCTTCTATGTATTTAATTAAGATTAATTGCTGAAACTCATAGCACAGTATTTTGAAGACTGGAAAGGAGACATAATTATTTCTCATCTTCAGATTGTTTTGTTTTACCAAATATTCCTTATCTGCTACCTCCATCTGCAGAGATGGCACTGAAATGGTTGGAAATGAGGTTGGGTGCAGAGTTCCTATTTGTTGACAATGTTAATATTTAGCTTAAAGCAATTAGTGACTGCTAATTCCTGTGATAAAAACTTTACTTTTCAGAGGTTTGCCCCACTCCTTCAAAAAGAAAAGGAAATGGCAGTACATATGGGTTTACACAAAGTACCTTTGGGTTTAGATAAGCAGAGAAACTAGCTAACACTTCCACTTTGGTAGTGGTGGTTTCATTTTTTAATTAACAATTACAATTTAAAAAAGAAAAACTAATACAAATTTAAAAAAGAAAAAAGAAAACACAGAAAAAATAGAAAGCGAAGGAAAGAAAAAAATAGAAAAATAGAAAAGAAAGAAAAATAACATAATAAAGAGAAAGAAAAGAAACATATAAAGAAATGACTTCCCCCTTCATCACAATTTTAGTAGCCTTGTTGTTCAGTCCTGATGAGCAAAAGTCCATGAAGGGTTACCAGAAATAACAACATATCTATTTTAACCTTGATCAAATAAACCAACTTTACATTCCTTCCTATTACTTTTAACAATCTTGATCTTTACTCTTCAAATAATGTCCTAGAACTTTATTTCTTTTCATTTTTTCTTTGTACCTTCTTACAAAATTCTTCAAAGCTTTAACAAGTCTCTTTTGTAAATCCAATACAGAAAAGTTTTCCAGGTCACTCTTTTCATTTGTTATTTTAATATTCCTTTTAATTATTAAGACATCAGCCAATTTCATTTGTATGTCCAGTGTAGCATCTTTTTCCATATCATTCTTGTAGTCTGTGATTTTTAAATCCACTTGCAGATCAGTCTGTATTGCCCAATAAAACTTGTTCCTCTTCCATAACATCTTTTAAATACAGTCTATAGAAACAGACACTCTTAAAATTAACTTTTGGGTCCATTGTTCAAAAAAATCCTTCAATATGTCCAGTGTTAAAATATTTTGCTCCATTCCATATTAGTAAGTCAAATTTAAGTATTCTTCTCCTTTAATTGTAATCTTTAGTTTCTTCTGGTTCCCTCTAGTGTCCAACCTACAAGGCCTCATTCTATCTTTTTTTTTTAAAGATAATTCAAAACAAAACATTTTCCCACAGGAAGTATTCTTACAATTAATTCTAAAATCTTATTTCAAATCCATCTAGACCCTTAGTCCATTTATTACTTTCCAAAATCAAAGTTCTAATCACCCTTTTGCTGTTTATTCCAAAATAATTTTTTAAAGTCCTTAAACTTTAATTTAAAACTTCTTTCACTAAGGATTGAAGGAAACTCATCCGGTGCTATAAAACTTATCAATCCTAATAGCTGAAAAGCAGTTAATGAACAATTTCTGAAAGTAATTAGAAATGGAACTATGCAAACCCAGTGTCCTTTTGAAGGTGCTGACTGTGGCTTGAGCAAAAAGATGGCTATTCCCTTGTGTCCCACACCTCTAAACCCATTGCAGACTGCTGTCTTGTGGTCTCCTCATGAGGAGCAACTGTATGAAGCACTTGTGCGCGATCTCAAGTCTCCTTCTTGTCTGGAGAGGAATTACAAAGAGCCGGTCTTCTTGTCAACTCTTCCTTCCGTTGCAGTCATTGGCTCCATTTTTAGCAGAGCCATCTTCAGTTCGCCATTTCTTCCCCGGAAGTCCAGTGGTGGTGGTTTCAGATCAATTAACCTAATGACCTTGAGATAGTAAAGACTTCAACTCCCATTACCCCCAGGCATGGATGAAGTTCTGGTCTCAAACATTTGGATCACCATATATATTAAAAAGGTGGGATAAAATTATTATTATTATTAGCCATCTAGCTGTTTTAGATGTTAACACACAACAGTAATACATGCAATGTAGAATATGTGAGAAATTTTAGAACCAGGACCCCAACAGAGCATCTGAGGACAGCAATGTTCCCTTGGCACTTGACAGGCTTTCTGGCATGTCTGACTCCCCCTCCCCAAAAAATGGAATCCTGCAATGCTGAAAGTGGGCCAGCATGACTTTTATTTTCAGTGCATTTCACCTCCAAGTACTATAGATCATGTAACTTATAAAAATAAAAATATATTTATATTTATACATATAAATAATCATGTAACAGTCCAGTGTTTTTTTTATGTTTGCCCACTTACCCAGAAAGATTACAGACATAAACCTGGGTGGTAGGGAAGGGGTAGCAAATAGCGTTCTGGTATATCTTGTAACTTGTGGCAGATAATTTGTAAGTGGGCAAATTAGCCTCTGGGAGCAATTCTGCAAGAATGCTCACAACATATTCTCAAAATTCCAAATGTGCTCACTAAGGCAAAAATAATGTAGACTCCTAGAGAACATAGGCTTGTGAAACTGGATTTCTTGGGCATGTGTCTTGGGCTTACTTCAGTAAGTAAGTACTTGATTCATATATCAGCTAGACCACAGCAAGTACAATTAAAGCATTTGGTTTTGGATTAATACCAGCTTTCAATTATTTACAATGATTAATACAATTAATACAATACAATTACAATTACAATTACAATGAAGGACATCCTGTCCTTCCTCAAAGGCAGCCATTGTGGTGTTCTCCTGAGTCTCTATTTGCATGGCAGACTCATACCTGTCAAACACTGGTTATTTATTAGTTTTATCTGAGCTCCATCCTCTGAAGAAGTTTCCCTCCTTTTAAAGTGCTTTTAAAGTGCTGCCTACCAATTTATTTGCTTGTATCTTTCAGCCTGCATTCTACTTTTTTAAAAAAATCCATGGGCACCACCCAACTCATATTACATTTTGAGGATTCTTATTTGAATGAACAGGTCATTTCTAAACTGAATCTGCTGCTCTGTAAAGATTGCACCTGTCTTCAGGATGGAGCAAAATATACAGGATGTGCCAAAAGTCAAGCCGCATAGGCCCATCACAGTATGCTTTGTTAATTAAGCTGTTTTTCAGGAACACTCAAAGATCATGCATCAAACAAGGAAGGAAGTGTTTACAAGAAAATGGCAACTACCTCGAACATGTAATGTAATTTATATTAAATGTAATTTATAATTAATGGCCTATGGGGCCTGAGTGTTGGTACACCCTGTATTTTCATGAGACAAGCCCCGGATTACGATGTTTTCTGATATTCTGAGCACCCATCCCACCTGAATAGCCATTCACTTCACTGACTTCAAGTTATACATGGAGTAACATAAATCCATCATAAAGTAATAAAATGGAATGCATAACAATGTAATATAAGACAACGCATCTGCAAACCTATACATTATTATTTATCCAGAGGAAAGTCTTCTCGGTCTGAATGGGACTTTCTGATTCTCCTCCAGGGCTGTTCTTTGAATGCTTTGAATTATTTGAGGCGACGATCCTAAGAGCATATGTACTTGTGAACTGGTCCCGTTCGGGAGGAATAATTTCTAGGTACAGCTGTTCCTTGCTCGCACTATTTACATTTGAAAGATCGGCTGCGCTGCTCCTGCCGGTTTTCCTCCGCCTCCTCCTCCAGCGGCGCCGGCGGGAAACGGAGCCAAGCACAGAACAACAGCTGGTCAGCCCCCAGCCGCCGCCGCCGCCGCCCTCCCAACCGCGCGCGGCCACCCTTCGGTCTTCCCGCCTTCCAGTTCGAGAGGCCACCAATCGTCTTGCGGATATGTCATCTGGCTCCTTTCCTCTTTCCCCCTAGTATAGACAACCAATCAGGGCTCCCTCTCGTCTCGCCTCCCAATGAGAGGGCAACTGATTTTCTTCCCGCCCCCTCGCCCTCGGGTTCGTTTCCTTGAAAGGGAGGTGCGGGGCGCCTGCGCCGGCTGATTAGATTACTCAGTTGGGTGGGACGGCGGAGTCGCGAGCGGCCCTGGTCCGGTCGGCGAAGTTCGGGGCGCAGCGATGCCGGGGGCAGTTCTGCTGGTGGCGGCCACGGGGGTCGCTCTCGTTGTGGCCTTGCTGCTGCTTCTCTACCTAATGTCGCCGCTGGACCATCCCAAGCCTCTGTCGTTGTCCGGGGCTCACGTTGTGGTGAGAATCCAGCGGGGTTTGTTGCAGGGTTGGGGACATGGGGCGGAGAAGGGGGCTGGCCAGGAGGCTGAAACCCTCGCTCCTGTTGGCAGAGAATTCGAGCCTCTGATTCCTGTCCCCCTTCTCTCCCCGCCTGTGTTACTGAATTAGATGCATAATTGTCCGGGTATTTTAACAACCTCCACAACCCAGTGGCCAGTGTCGATTTCAACATGCATCCTTCCAAAAAATCCTTTCTGGAATGTTTGGGTTCACTTAGAATTCGAAAAGAGCGTGAATGACCTCGATTATTTTTAGCCTCAAGCGAAATACTGTAGGTATTACCTGAATTCATTCTGAAATAAAAGATTGGAACTGACTAGAAAATAGGAGAAAAGAATGTTGATGCGTTTTGATAGTTTTCCTGATTCTTCCCTCCCCTTCAAGACTCCCCACTTTTATGTTCATGTAATGTTTCACTTTGAAAAATAAATGCTCGAAATTTTAAGAGCTTTTTATCGAGCAAGATCTTTTCCTCCTCCCTCATTTATTTGTGGAGGAAATGCAAGCAGTAAATCCTAACCCAAACAATTCTTACTTGTACTTAATGGTCTTGAATACAAACTAGTTGATCTTAATTAGACACGACTGTTGTGACTTCAAATAACTTTGTTTTATGTGTGCACTGTAAAAAATACCTAAAATGCATGTATGCTTTATGACTGTTCTACCATTCTGAGAGTTGAGGATTCTAGACGGGCACGTAGGAGAGTGAACTGCCTTCAATTCAACCTGACACTTGGGGTGAATTTATGTTGCAGGCCTGTGCAGACATTTACCATTTACCAATTTATTATTTCCTCTTGTTGATTGTATGTGGCCCCAGGGGATCTTATAAACAATGTTATTGTACAATCTGCATCATAAAAAAGCAGGTACACTGCTTTGCTGACTAGGAGTTGGAAATCTCAGCACATCTGGAGGACACCATGTTGAAGAATCTACCTTACATACACCATTCTCTGCGGGGCCCTAAATGAAAGTATGGTTTTAGTGAAGGGGAATAACAATTGCATTACCTAGACCTCCATGTAAAAAAAAAATTCACTAATTTATTGATTAATTTTTTATCCCTGACGCAACCAAGATTCTCCATGGCTTACAACATGCATCTGTACAAAACAAAATATCTGTGGTAGAGTAGGCAGATAAACAACTGCTCATGAGATCTTAGTATATAAAGGGCTTTTCTCTTCTCACAGAGATAGGATACTTTCTCCTTTTCCTTGATATTTTTACTTATGTGTGGAGTGGAGGAAGCAAAGATCACAGAAGGGAGCTGTCTAGACTTGACAAAACTGAATATTAAGGATGCATGATATTCACATTATTAACAGCATGTGTAGCTTTTTACTTACATGAATGAATATAGTATATAATGCAGAGCATGTATTTCTAATAATTTGAGAAAAAGTTTCTTAAAAGCATGTAAGATTTTGGTTTTTCAGACATGATGTGCACAAGCTAAACAAAAGTTAGAGAGGCTAATGTATATAAATGAGGTAGAACTTTGCAAAAGAGCCCTATATTTTTATAATAGGTATCTTAAACCACTTAGTGTTCCACATGGACATACACCAACACTGTTAGTGGCAACACCCACTCTATTATTTCCCTGAGGAGGTGTGATGGAAGCAAACTGATTTTTCTTGTTTTGTATAATCAAGGATTATCCTATAAGAAACATAATATTTGATAGCAAACAACCCCCTAATTCCACTTGCTCAAAAAAAGTTGGTGTTTATCTAGGGCAAGGAATGAAGAAATGCAATAGTAACCCATACTCACGTTCTCAAATCATTACATAATGTTATGCAGTAGCATGGGTGTCCCTCAAGAGAAAAGTATCATTTAAACATGGTCAAAATCTCACAAGAGATATATATATTTTTAAAAAATTAGAATAATATCTGGGTATGTGTGGGCACATCACCACCAATCCCTTTTCTTATGTTATTAAAAAGCTTACTGTGAAATGATACTGATTGAACTGTGGATGTGTCGAGTCTTGCTCTCACTGGAGATGAGATGATAGAACACAGTCTTCAGCTCCGTTCCTCTAGTAATGTTCTCTGGGTTTAGTTCAGCTTACTTGGTACTTAACTTGTTTATCTGCAAATATGATTATTAAGAAAACAAAGAGCAGGAGAAGGTAGAAATTTTCAGTTTTCAGTTCAGTTTGGTTACAATAGTAGAATTCTGTACAATATATTCACTGGAGCGAGGTTCTCAGGAAAACTAAGCATGTTTTATACTGAAAGCCGTTTCTGTTCTTGGAGTCTTGTTCATTTGGTTTTGCTATGCTTTTAATTAAAAGCAAATTTGCATTTACAACTTCAGCGCAGTAATACTTGTGTAATGCAAAAAGTGCATGTACGTATACTTTTGCATTTATCTAATGGATCTTACCTGCAAAAGAAAGCACACAATAATGCAGAACTCAACCCCACACCAAAGAACTTGTAAAAAAAGGTCTACTATGCAGACAGTTGAGAACAGTCTTTGTCGGTTCTTATGTTTGGAATAAGACAGCCAGAATCACCCCTGAATGCAGATGCAACATCTTGTCTGACTCAGACCAATCACTGAGTGAGGGCTCACAGCAGTAATGTCCATCTTTGAATGGGTGCTTAGGTAACTGCTCTTTTCTCCCATCACCCCATCCAGGCTCAGCCAGTAGGAGCAGCAGCAGCATGAACTGAAATCATTTAGGGAAACAGAACCTAATTATGGCAGTCAAAGCAGGTAGAACATTAGAAGCCATGCTACTCATAATTGCCTGGTGAGGACTCAAGGATGCAACAAAATCAAGGAATCGAATCAAATCTTTATTATGGTCATAGACCAATATAAAAATCAAGGATTTGTTTCAAACTTGAGAAAAAAAAAACTTAGTGAACACTAGTAACAATGTTTTGAGCTCACATTCATATTTAACGTTTCAGAATAGTAAGTTTTCTTGGTGATATTTACCTGGCCTATGATCAAGAGCTAACTGATCACAGAAGTTATCAGATAATGAAGTCTAAATACTGGGAATAACCCAAGAAATCAGATCAGCATCAAGAGTTGTCAGAATATGAAGTTCCTTGAACACTTACGTCCATTATATCAATATTAATATAAAGTTGATATAAATTAAGTATTGTTATAAAATATTTATAGAAAATTTCTCATAGGGATTTCATTCTGACATACAATGTTCTCATGAAACCAGGCTATATGTAATGTAGTAATCGTTTGTTTCTATCTAAGTGTTACTTATTGGATGTTTTTATGAAGCAAACATGAGTCACTAACAGTCATTGTTTTGCTACTCAGATTTGGCTTAATTTGCATTCAGACATGTGGGTGACTAAAATGTCTTGAAATAATATATTTAATTTTCTTCACACAAAATAATATGCTAATTGCAACACAGTCTAAAGACAAATGCTTTTCTTTAATCTGTTAAGGGGAGGAAGAGCTTTGGGATACTATTTCTCTCTACAGACAGCAAGAAAGGGCCTTATATTTCTGTGGCGTTATAGAAAGGTGCTTTTTTCCAAGGGTGCTTAAGGGCATTGTTTTGGTTCCTTTAATTTCAAAATATAATCGTGGCATTTTTAAAAAAAAAAGTTGTCACCCTCTTTTTGTTTATTTTACCTTATTTTTAATTTAAAAGCTATTTACAGAAAATGTCTATTGATTTTTGCTTCATAGTTTACAAATACACAAAATACAGCCTTCTTCAATTTACATTAAGAAATAACTTATGGAGGAAAAATGTTATGCTTAATGCATATTTAAGATGAAGCCCTTGTAAGAAGTATCTGCGTAGATTTTTAAACACAAACGCCAATCAAGTTTATTAAGCTGTCTTACATAATTTCCTTTTCAAAGAAGTATCAGAATGAGAAATTGCACCCTTTATGGGTACATTTAACCTCTGTGTCTTAATTTTTTTCTTATTTGGCCTTGTTAATAATGGCTCTTCGAAGGAAAAAAATGTAAGTCCATATATATGTACAATATTGCATGGAATAACTTTACATGTAGGTAGGTGTAACATTTAAAGACAAATCACAATAAATTTCTCAACCTTGTCAGGAACTAAAAGTTTCTCTTATTTTTGAATTTGCACAACAAATATTCTTGGACCTGATAGGGATGCTAATTGTCTTTAAGTTTTGTCACTTAAAGGCAACAGGTATTTCTTGTTGAATCTGGTATATTACCTTCCCAGCTAGTCTAAGGCTAGTATCCAATATCACAGTCTATAGTGTTTTTTTTTTTTTTCCAGGTAGACATGTGCCATCATCCTATCTTTCCTCCAGTCCAGTTCTGAAATTTCATCAGGCCTTCATCTTGGCCAGGTTGGATGCATTACCCTCTGCAGTCCTGTGGGGACATTATAAAAATGTCCCTCTACACCAGGACATATCCCCATGTGGGGATGCTCTAACAGGTCCCTGAGTGACATGCTCCTCTGTTGCTCTTTATAAAGAGAATTTTGGATGACATTCATCTATCCCATTCTGAAGAAATACAGGTAGTCCTCACTTAACAATAACAATAGGGACTGTAAAATTCATTGTTAAGCAGGGTGATCATTAAGTGAGGCATCACATGACTGCACCCAATTTTATGACATTTTATGGTGGTCATTAAGCGAATCACCATGGTCATTAAGTGAATCATGTGGTCATTAAACAAATCATGTGGTTCCCCATTGATTTTGCTTGCCAGAAGCCAGGTGGGAAGGTTGCAAACGGCAATCATGTGACCCTGCAACCATTGTAAGAGTGAGCTGGTTGCCAAGCGCCCAGATTGTGATCATGTGACCGCAGGGATGCTGTGTAAATGCTAGGACCAGTCGTAAGTAGCTTCAGTGCCATTGTAACTTTGAACAGTCACTAAACGAATGTTTGTTAAGTGAGGACTACCTGTACCTTACAGAGTATGAAGCTTATTTGTCGCTTCTTCTGTCTGACCAGGACTCTGATGTATTCTCCCATGTTGCTTGATTTTGTGCTTCTGTTTATAATCTTGGTGATGCCAATCATAATAAACAACATAAGTTAAGAAGACAGGTTTGAGTTTGTGAGAGTTCTGGTGGTGAGGTTTTAATGAAAAAAAAATAGCCTTTATAGGTTCTTTCCATTCTCAAGAATAGTAAAATTGATAGAAATCAGCAGGAATCATTCAAAGTATGAATATTTTAAAATGCTTTATTAAAGGTACAGAGTGACACTAGAATTAAAAAGAATTTTAAAACTATTGCAATCACTGTATTTAAGTAATCATTTTAAAACAGCAGTGCAGTACTGTTTACAGATTTTAGGGGAGTTGGGGTTATGTCTGTGGGGGTATTTTTAATTGGCTTTAGGCTATATAAGATTGTTTCCAAGCATACAGTACATAGATATATTCAAAAATCCTCTCTATGAGAGGATGTATGTCAGCAGGAAGGTAGGTATGCCGTGGGAAGAAAAACATGTCCAGTTGTTTCCTACTTTTGGAATATTTATTCAGGGTTAATAAGCTGTTATGTTGATGCACTTGCCTACCTTGAACCAAAAATACTATCTTTAGAAGTCATCTCTTGGTTGATAAAAATGTTGATATGTGAATTCAAAAGATATGTCAGCTTTAATGATGGTTGACTGAGTAAATTTTAAAAACCACTGTTTTCTATTTGTTTAGAACAATTAAGGTGTACTGACTTTCTGTTAAAATCAGAGTGTTAGGACTATGTTTCAGGAAGTTTCATCCTGAAATCTATTACATGTTAGCATTTTATCTCATAGAGATAATTGTGACATTTATTAATTCATTTACTTCTTCTATTTGTACTTAGTTTTAAAAATAGATAAATGCAAGAATTGAAAGAAATAAACTTTCTTCCACTAGCTTTATTTTTTTTCTCTTTAAAAGAAGTACCCTTTTTTTCTCTTTCCCAGCCCCAAACATATATAGGAGCTTCATAGGAAATGGACACAGATTTTCAGAGCTGTTTTCACAGAGTTAACTCTTCAAACTTTCTTTAAGCTTACAACATCATAATAGCCTAAGGAATTATTTGGATTCTGTCCTCGGTGTCCACCTCATTCCCCAAAACAAGTGTTCATCATTTTGTTGCAATATTTTTTTATAATAGATATACAACATTTGTTACATCTATAATGTTTGATGTCAACAAACATTTCTTCTGCTTCCATCCTCCCCTTCATTCCAGCTCTAATAGATAATGCTAGATAGATATGTTAATTTTCCATCTGAAGATGTTAACCTGGATTAAAATGCAACTGAATTCATGTTTTAATCAATGAGATTGATATTTTAAAATCCAAGTTAAATTAAAATCTTTTAAAATCATATATAATTCTAAAAATATTTTTTAAACATGGTAGTCTGTTGCAACAAAACCACTGTTCTGATGCCTTAAAGAGACTTTGATGTTATGGATTATAGAAAATTTCATCAAATGCATTAGCTGTTATCTTGGGCAAGGGGAGTATATGTCAGAAGGTTGGAATGGGAGGAGGAATAAGGAGGAGGCCAGAAGGAAACGAAGTCCAGATGTTGTGCGCTATGGTAATGACCCATTTGACTGTTTGCAGATCAGCTATTGGGTGTGTCAAACTGGTGACCTGTATAACACATACAAATATAATGACATACAAACATAATGACAATGCCGTGGCTCTTAATAATATAATTGAACCCGTGAATTAAAGAAAGACTAAACATTGCATTACATGATATGTGTTAACCCCCACCCAAATACTCATTGCTCAAAATTATATCCCATGTATTTGATAAAATAAGCTTTGAACATGCATAATAGATATGAATTTAGCCAAATTAAGATATACAGATAGCAAGTTAACAGACCTTAGATATACAAGTAGTCCCCAGTTTAAGACTGAGTTCTGTTCCCAAGCTCTGCCCTTAAGTTGAATTTGTATGTAAGCCAGAACAGTATTATTGTATAATTGTAACAGTAATATTATATAATATTATTGTGTAAGTAGTATTGTATAATTAACTCAAGCCATTGTGTATTTAACTCAAGTTATTGTGTATTTAACTCAAATTTTGTTAAAGTAGGCTCCGTTCTTAACTATGGGTCGTCCATAAATTGAGCATTTATAACCTGGGGACTACATGTACTTGTATATACTTTTGTCCACACAAAAGTTGGCTTCTGTTCCAGAGTGCAGTGTTGGATTGACTGAAGAATTTTAATGTCTACCTCAAAAAGCATGCTATTGGAACCTGTAAAGCATTTTTTAATATTGAATGAGAATTTAAAACATGCAGGTTCTTATATTGAACTCCATCAGGTGTTGAACTTCACTTCCAGCTATCCAATCAGCATGGCTGGTGAACGATATTGGGAGTTGCAATTTAGCAGCATTTGGAGAACCATAAATGATGTATCGCTGGTACATGACACCAGAGAAATTATCAAAAATGTATGAAGGTACAGCAAGTCAGTGTTGGAAATGTGAAAAACATGAAGGGACATTTTACTGTGCATGATGCACTTGTGAAAAAACCAAGAAATTTTGGATATAAATACATACAACGATACTAAGAAATTTAAATATTATTATTGCAAAAAAATCAACTTTTTTTACTGGGACCTACGGATACTGAATTAGAAAGACTCATGGAACATTAGTTTTGTATATGATAATGGCAGCAAGATGATTATATTGTGAGGGTTCTTTGTTTTCCAGGGACTGGACACACCACAGTGTAGCCAACCTGTACAAAATACTTTATTGCAGCACACACCTTCTCCCAACCACAGGGTATTGCTTTTCACCCATCTAGGACTTGCCAAGTGATACACAGTCCTTTAATACTTAGTTCAAGTGAAAGTCTCTAAAATGTATAAAGTCTGTATAAATATATAAATCCTGTTAAACTCTGTAAAGTGGCATGCAACCTCTGCCTTTTCCAAATGTTCCTGGATTGGTTGAGATGAGGTGCTGCTTCAGAGTGCTTGTTCCTCTTTTAGTTGCTACTGAGCTCCCAGCAAAGCTCCAAACATCAGGCAAGACTCCCACCAAGATACGCTGCTCACCACAACCTGTGGTCTTGGTAGTTGAATACTAGTCCTCTTGCCTGCTTCTAATAGCTATAATAATAGATGCTGCCCTCGCTTCCCCATCTGTAGGCTGTTTGCTTGTCACATTTCCTCTTACACACACCTCCTTCACTCTGTCTTAATGTTTCTTTTTCTAAGCTAAGATCCTGGGTGGGGTTGAGGCTGCTTCTGGACCTCAGCAGGTCCTTGAAAAAGCCAGGGTGTGGCACCTTATCGCAGGCAGCTGGAAAGCTGGCCTGGATGCTTGAGAGTAGTCAGGGAAACAAGGGAAATGGGGTGAGAAATGTTTCTGCCCAGCTACAGCTTACCCTTCCCAAGCACAGGCAGCAACCTCAACTTCAGTCACTCACATGTATGCACAAAGATGGAACAGTACTGAAATTTCCACAATGGAAGAATGGATCATAAAAATGTCAGAACTAGTGGAAATGGCAAAAGTGACCTGTTTGAGCAGGGAGAAAACAAGTGCTTTTTTAAAGGACCAAAAACCTTTTATGGACTTATTGCTAAAAGAAGAAAAATGTGAAATGATGATTTATGATTTAGTGATTGAAACAGATGAGAATTAAATAAGGGGTTGAATTGATTTCTGGAAGAGTTAAGAGGGAAGGGAGATGATAGATTCTTAATATCTGTTGAAGAGAAGGTCAAAAGTCATATTTCATAACTTTAGTTTTTTTGTTTCTCTTTTTTCTTTTCTTGCACTTTTTTTTCTTTCTTTTCTGTCTTTTTGTTTAGATTTGCTTTTACTTTATGTAAAATCCTCAATAAATGCAATTTTTTTAAAAAAAGAACCATAGATTCCCCATAGATTTGGGGTCACATAACTTTATACCCATCTACCCAGCACTCTGTAATTTGACATGGATACAGTTTCAGAGAATGTATCTCAATGCAGTGATATGAAAATATACCCCAGCTATGATTTTGTCATATTAACAGCGTAGATCTGAGAGTGGAGTTGTGGGATGCCCAGCTCTGTTAAATACTTATGTTTAAAATGAACCTGGCTGTCCATGGAGACAACTTGCAAGCATTTCTATTATTGCTTACCATCTTCATAGTATTAGCTGTGGACCAGAAATGTCCCACCGCATATGGAGGGAAAACACTGGTGCGTCCACGTACGTGGATTCTATTTGGAATGCTTATTTCTAAGAGCTTGCAACGATAATACTACTAATTTCGTGGCTTTAATCCATATCTCCTTTACTTAAAAGGTAACTGGTGGTTCCAGTGGCATTGGGAAAAGCATTGCTATTGAATGCTTCAGGCAAGGCGCTTTCCTAACACTGATTGCAAGAAACGAGGTAAATTTTTAAGTTTATTTAATAACTGTCATGTTTTAAGCTGCGGATTACAGGTTTTTAAACAACAGTGGCTATAAGGCACTACTGTTTAATTAAATGCATTCTGGGATTCAAACTCAGCTAATGATGGCCTTGACTAAATCCCATTGAAAAAAATGGACATTAAATTAGCGATAGCCAATTATAGCTGAATTTGTGGCATCTCTGTTTTTATAATAAAGAAGTTACTCTTGTAAATTTGGATCAGAGGTAGGAAAATCAGGCTAGGATCCCATCAGCGTCAGCCATTCAGATAATACCTGTGGATTGGGCTTTGAGGAGGGAAACTCTACAATCCTGCTATTATAGGATGGTTTCTCAGGGCACGAGGAGCAATGTCTCCGTATCTCTTCCTGCATGGAAGTCAGCAATCCGGAGGACAAGGCACAGACCTAGTGTTCTTTGTCCTAATGGTACACTTTCTCGCGTGTGCCTGGTCCCACTCCACTGTCAAACTGCTGTTTTGCATACAAAGATGTGCAAATCTTTATTGATGGAATGCAGCATATCTCTACTGCAGTGCTTCAGTAGAGATAACTTCACAAAGCATAGGGGTGAAATAGTTCTGGACCCTTTGCTGCTGTAGAAGCATTTTTATACTTACGCAGACTTCCCCATTCACGGTGCTGCAAAGCATGAAGTGACATAGGCACAGACTCAGAGAAATCCCTGTTCTGCACCCACAGTTCTACAAAGTTGAGCAACAGCACGAACAAACAGTCTCTGTTAAAACATGTCAGCAGAGCCAGCAGAATGAGTACTAGTCTCGTCTCTGTATCTAGTCATCAAAGGACACTGATCAGCTCCAGAGCTAAGGCCATAGATGGCATCTACATTTGCAAAACGAAACCTCCTGGCAAACCATAAAGTTTTCAAGCATACTCACCCCTAAAACATAGCCTTGTTATGCCATCTACAGACTTATAAAGTAGGGATGTTCAGCACTTCTGAACCAAAATTGAAAAAGTGCTTTGGAGTGGCTGCATCTCTTCCTGGGCTCAGAAGGTAGCCACATGATCCCAGGAAAACACATTTGAGTTAAGGGGTTGCTGACAGCATATCCGTGCCGTTTGCAAAGTGCGCTGTCACGCCCTGAAGGTGCCTTCTTAACTTGAACATCTAGTTGAGTTGAAAGAAAAGGATATAGCTCTCTTAGGGTGGCACTGTGCTCCTCATGATCCTCAAAAGTACCTTTTAAGTTCCACAACCAAAGCACTGCGCATCCACATAATAATGACTTTCAATTAAAGGGCCAATTACACTTCCTGCATCTCTATTCCATCCCTGTTGCCACTGGGATGGCATGTGTCAGGTGAACGCCTTATGACAGTGTTGTCCAAACTTGGCCACTTTAAGATGAGTGGACTTCAACTCCCAGAATTCCCTAGCCAGCATGG